TTTCCCCACAACAACAACCCTGTGAGGTGAGTTGGGCTGAGAGAGAGGGACTGGCCCAAAGACACCCAGCTGGCTTTCATGCCTAACGCAGGACTAAAACTCACAGTCTCCTGATTTCTAGCCTGGTGCCTTAACCACTAGACCAAACTGGCTAGACCATTTCCTGGAAATGGTCATGGCTCACTGTTACCTTAGTTGGAAAATAAAGTTAAAAAATATTCCAAATACAAAATTAAGACATGTCATGAAAACAGATTGGGCTAATATAAAAGAAGTTTCTGTATTGCATTGGAATTAAATTACACATAATGGATATTGTATTTGCCTTTGATTCTATATTAACAAGCACCAATCCCAGGCCAAATACAATTTTGATGCAACCTGACAATCCTGCCCACAACTGGTGATATTTCCTTCTTGCCTACTTTCTTTACTCATTGTCATTTCTCTTGTTCTTCATTATTCCAATAGCAATCTAATCCTTCATGCTACTGCTGAGGGAATGGCACAGGTGAGGGAAGAGAACCCCAGAGCTTGCAGAAACCAACCATACTTTACTTCCACAAAAGGTGGAAAATCCTTAAGATGCTTTCTGTGCTTCCCTTACTTGACTCCTAATTTGTTGCCATCTCTTTCTTGTAGATGGACAAAGTATCTGATTGTCTGATTGAGCCATAGGGAGTAATACCTGCTCTTTGGTCATATAAAAAGAAGAGTGTTCATTAATTATGCCATAAAACAATTGGTAAAGAGGACTAGTGCATAATATAACAAAATATTGTAAACTAGCATAATATCAATAAATTATTTGGTTAGATAATTATTGCAAAGCTATGATGATGGAACATTACTATAATTCTAGTGTGCAGTTACAATCTAGGTTTAAGAGTTAGCTTATGGTATAATTGTTTTCTCTCTCATATGCTACCATGAGATTAGGGAGGGATTGTGCTCTTTGGCTTAATTCTAAAGCATAAGAAACAAAGGCATTTTGGTTTTCCTTGTCCTCATTAGAAGGGAATGTATATGTGCCCAGTCAAAAGTAAAAGCTCAGGAATGGTACCAACCAGGAAGGGGGCTTAAAGGAAGAAAATTCCTCATAATTAGAAATCATTTGTCCCCTTTAGTTTTTATACACTGGCTTCCCAATATATTTATATTTACAGAAGAAAATAAAAATCAGTGACTGAAAGTAATTCCAGAAGTAGACTGCTTACATCTAATACCTTCCAGATTTATAAGTATGTGTGTTATGTTTTTTTAAGAGTCAACATTCTTCTGCTGAGGGGTTCAAAAATTTAACCCCAACACCTTCCAAGAGTCAGAAAAACCTATTCTCTGATGAAGAGGATTCTGAAGTAAGTCCTTAATCATTCAATTTAGCATACAGCTAAATAGTAAATAAATAGTAAATAAATAAATAGTAAATAAATAGTAAATAAAAAACCACCTCAGTATCCAAAATCTGTAGCTATGAATGATTCTGTGTCTCCTTGGCAATGATAGCATGATCCTTGAAGGCTATGAGTATAAGGAATTGTTATGATTACTGAACTTGGAATTCAAGTTACTAAGATTTCTAAAAATGGGGTATCTAAGTTGAAAAATGTAGGAGAGTTTTTCATTATAAACAATGCAGCCCAAGTTGGGCTGGGGATGAGCCTCTCTTCTATAATGGGGTGAGGAGTAACAGGGTACATGTTATGTGCTAGAACAACCAAATATCTGCTGTTCCTTCTTGTACTAGCTATGAATCAAGCAAGTTGAGCAAACCAGAGGCTCATAACTCAAGTCTCTAACACTTATTTATTTATTTATTCATCATTCATTCATTCATTCATTCATTCATTCATTCATTCATTCAA